TGTAGACTAGGGCAGACGATGCAAACAGTGGCCCTGACTGGCAACTTATTTTTTTTCTCTCATCAGTGTTAGAACAAATTGTCATTATTCAAGGAGCTGCTGTATACAGTTCTATGCCACTTATCACACGTTTAGATTCCTGTAACTAAGACTACCATCAAGATAACTATCCCATTATCACAAAGAGCTCTCTCATACTACTTCTTTATAGATATACCCATCTACCATCTCCAATCATCTTAAACCTTGGCAATCATTAATTTGCTTTCTACCACTTTAATTTTGTCATTTCAAAAATGTTATATAAATGGAATCATATAGTATGTGACCTTTTGAGATTGGCTGCTTTCACGCAGCATAACGCCCTTGAAATCCATACAAGTGGTCTATCAATAGATTTTTTTCTTTTCTATTGCTGAGTAGTATTCCTTGGTATAAATATGCCAGTTTGTTTAATTATTAACCTACTATAAGACATTTTGGTTTTTACAAGTCTTTTGCTATTACAAATAAAGTTGCTAATGATCAATCATGCACAAGTTTTTGTGAGAAAATAAGTCTTTATTTCTCTGGGATAAATGGCCAGGCATACAATTGCTGAGTCATATAGTAAGTGTTCGTTTAGTTTTTTAAGAAACTGCTAGACAATTTTTCACAGAGGCAGTACCATTTTCAGATTCCCCAAATCATTATGAGATCCAGTTTCTCCACATCCTCACTAGCACTGAGTTGCCACTACTTTTTATTTTAGCTGTTCTAATAGATATGTAGTGATGGTGTCACATCAAGTTCTTAAACGTGCATTTTGCTTTTGTCTAGTGATACTTAACATCTTTTCATGTGTTTATTTGCCATCTACCTATTCTCTAATCCTACTTTAAACCTCTAGAGGAGATAACTGAACAACACTATCTGCAAAGAAGAGTTTGTATTTATAAAGCAAATGGAATATCAGAAGTTACATAAGCCCCTCCTCTTCCCAAATAGTTCAGTCCAGAAGTAATTAGGTGGTCTGAGCAAGGTCAGCATCTGTGCAGTTAGAGGCTAGAGATGAATTACATACAGGGTAATCCATCAGTCAAGAAAATCAAAACCTGATTTCTATAGAAGAGAACTACAAATATGGAGAAGAAAAAACTGCAATAAGTCCCGATTGAACTAAAATCGGAGTTATGGGTGTGAAGTCATGCTGTTCTATATGAGAGAGAGAGAGAGAGAGAGAGAGAGAGAGAGAGAGAAACATAAAGTCCCTAAATCTAACCACAAATTTCACTGGAAAACTGGCAAATCCCAGGACTGGAAAAGGGAAATACAAGATGAACATCTTCTTGGGCTAGAACATCAAGAAATGCTCAAAGAATGATGTGTGCATCTTAAATGAATATAGAAGCCATCTTGAAGCAGCTTCCACTGGCCAAACCTGGGGAAATTTCAGCATTGAAATAAATGACAGTAACAGATTATGACCCACTGAATAAAAGAGGAATCCACTGGTTCATAAATAAATAAATAAATAGTCTGATGAGAAACAGTCTCAAAATAACTGTTCACAAACAAAAAATTATTAATCACAGAGCATAAAATAACTTTATAATGGAGAGGACCTGGCAGATACCACTGTCATCAAGAGATCAAAGTTAGGTAATATCACCAGTAATAGAACAAAATGAAATTAAATGTCACCTGATATGACAGAATGAGAAGAACACAGAATCACTTCTTTGTAATTTCCTGACAAAGCAATCTAGGATTAACCTACTTAATGAGGAAACATCAGACAAACCCAAATTAAGGGACAGCCTACAAAAGAACTATCCTGTATTTTTAAGAGTCTAAGAGTCATGAAAGTCAAGGAAAGACTGAGAAACTGCAACATTCCAGTTTGAAGACCAATAAAAAGACATGACAACTGAATGTAAAGTGTGATTCTGAACTGGACCCTATGGCTATAAAGAACACTCAAGGGGCAATTGGCCTAACTTAAATGGGTGGTGGTAATGTCACACTGTTGAACTAACTTCCTGGTTCTAACAGTTGTACTGAGTTATACAAGGAAATATGCTTGTTTGTGGGAAACATACACTGAAGAAATCAGGGGCACATCTTACTGCAACTCTCTCTCAGATGGTTCCAGAAAAATATTTATCGTGTCATGCAACTTTGCTGTTGATATGAGATTGTTTCACCTATAAAATTAAACATGAACACACAGTCACATGTTCACATAAAATAGGCTGGTATAAGCAAAGGTAAACAACTTTAAAAAATAGCAAAAAATCATGTACATGATAACATACATATTAAAGCAAACTCAAATTATGTTATACAAGGGAAGAAAAGTAGACTATGGCTTCATCAATTTACTAATTTTGGTTACATCTATGATGGATGCATAATTCTAGTCATATATATGTGGGACTGGTCTGAAAAGACCAATAAGTGAAACTTTACCACACTAGTTTTACATATATGGACATGCCATATGTTCAAAGTTAAATTGTAGCATGTTAATTCCTTGGTCATTTTCTTATCCTGCCTCACCCCCTTTAGATTCCATAGTTTAGGCAACCCAGTAAATATGACAAAGAAATATGGAAATAATTTGTTAACATAGTTTACATAGATGATCCTGGCTGAAAAATCCACTTGATCTATCATGTTCCCTATCTTCGCCAATAAACTCAACTGTTTTGTAAAGTATCAGTTTTGTTTCATTCTGGGGTTGAATCTGGTCACACAACAAGTAACTGACAAGCTGTCTCTGTGCTTATTTAATGTCATAAGACTGTTATGGAATCAAGTGAGTTAGCACTGTAAGAATATTTAAAATGCTATCTAGAGTTTATTTTTAATAGTCTTCATCCACCAATTACTGTTCTTTCAGCTCAAGTCGCATAATTTAGAGTAGTGATTTTCAATCAGTGTGGCGCAAGAATTTTTAAGACATGCAATGCCTGACTATTTAGTCAGGGTCACTGAGCTCTTTTCACCTTAGACTGTCAAATAAAAATTGAGAACAGCTGACACAACAATAACTGTCTGGCGTGAATGAATCAAAATTCATCCAGTCAGATCTGCAAAAAATATAATACAGTATATTTTTTGGTGTGCTGCAGAATTTTAGTAATTAGTTTACGTATGCCATGAGATGAAAATGGTTGAAAAGTACTGGTTTAGAGTATTTAGTGGTAACAAAAATAGGAAACAAGTCTATATAAATTTAATCGTAATGTCTGGATTTCTGGGTATTGAAAGGGATAGATTAGAACTAAAAAGAGCAGAGATTAAAGCAAGAAAGACACTATATGTATGTCAAATAAAAGGGGAAATAATCATTTTGGGATCTGGTAATTCAATGATTGCTGGTATTGGCAAAGAGCGAATAATACAACTTAGCAATGACTGCATGTCTATTTCTTTCCACAATTACTTAAATATTTTAAGTACCTGAAATCTAACATTGGCATACTTCTACTTCTTTTCCCCATTAACCCCTAAAAAACAAAAACTATGAATTGTCTGCCCCTAAAATCATTTATTTTTTCATCTGAACGGACATCTTTAATCCCTTATTCAGAGATAAGAGTTGAATGATATTAAACTAAGCAGTTAGCCAAGGCTTTATCAAACTAAGTAGCAGACCAGAATTGAATTCAATAAATGTTTTGTGTGCCTACCATATGCTGGGCAACAGACGTAAGTCAGACTCATTCCCAGCCCTTAGTGCTTTTAATCTAATAAAAGAAAAACAACATTAAAAAGAAAAAGAAAGGAAACACCTGCTTTACAAAATCCATTCAGAGATCAGAACTCTAAAACTGGGAATTAGTGCTGCAAATTTTTTTATGTATATGTGTATGCATATTTCCAGATTTTTTTAAATAGAAAAATTCAATTATACTGTTTCTTTCCACTGTTTATATCTCTCCATGTCAATTAGTATCCTTAAAAATCACCATTTTTAATGAGCTACAGAGTATGCCAACTGTAAAAAAATAGTATTTGTGTATCTAAACATAGAAAAAGTACAGTAAAAGCACAGCATAAAAGATAACAAATGGCACACCTGTAACACTTTCCACGAATGGAGCTTGCAGGACTAGAAGTTGCTCTGAATGAGTCAGTGAGTGGTAAGCGACTGTGAAGGTCTAGGATATTACTGTACAGTACTGCAGACTTTATAAATACTGTACACTTAGGTTATACTAAATTTATTTAAAATAGCATACTACATCACTACATCACTAGGAAATAGGAATTTTTGAGCTCCATTATTTCAGCTCATGGAACCACTGTCATAAATGTGGCTCATCATAGACTGATACATCGTTATGCAGTGCATCACTTTATTTAACACTTTTGGTATTCAGTTTGAATGATTATCACCACTAATTCACCTTCCACTTTTACGTACTCCTTTCTTTAAATATCCTCAAGTTAAATCCTAGTATTGTAAAATACTCAGTTCTTCGAAAAGCCTCCAACTTCCTACCCCACTACACATATGGTTCTCTCATCTGAAATGCACACATCAAAAAACATCTATTTATAGATCCAAAATCATAGATCTGGGAGGAATCTCAGGGAAGAATATCCTAATCTACTCACCTTAATTTGCAAGTCAGAAACTTCTGTCACTTACCTACAAAAGTCTGGCATTCTTTCCACTACACAGGGCTTCTCAAAGTATAATATGACCATGAACCAACCCATTGGTTATTAAAAACAGATTTCCAAGCCTCATCCACAAAGATCATGCTCTAATAATTTGGGTTAGGGCTAGACCTTATTTTTTAAACACACACATCATGTTATTCTGAAGCAAGGGGTCAATGCTTCAGACCTTAATACGAAAACCACAGGAAAGAAAGAACATATTAAGAATATGTAGCCTTTAAACAAATGTAAAGAGAGTATGTAGCCTTGTAGCACTTAGCATGTCATCTGAAATTTTCCATTTCAGGCCCCATATTGAAATCTTCAAAAAATCAGCTACTCACAGCTACTTGTGCAGAATCCATAAATCTCAGTCCAAAATAGTCACTTTCAATAAGATCCAAGTGGTATGTAATCTGATCGAACAGCTCTTGACCTTTGGCTTTTCTCTGAAATGGCAAGAAAAGAAATGAATCAGTATGTGGCTTGCAAGATCAAAAAGCCTAAATTGAAGATGGTTTTATTAAATAAGATCTCTTGGGGGGGCGTTGCTAGAGGGAAGGGGGCATAGGGCAGAGGGGATAAAAGGGGTAAAAAATTAGACAACCGTAAGAACATAATATATCAATAAAATAAATATATCAATAAAATATATTAATAAAATATATCAATAAAATATATCTTAAAGAAGATCTTTTAAAACAAAAAAGGATTACTTGTAATACCAAAAGTATATGTAGCAGATAATGGGTAAGATATGAGTTTTCCTATGAACCATTTAAGGCCAAAAGAGAATTTATGATCTCTATGTGCTTTCCTGAAGAACATTACTTCCTATCAAGCAACAAATATTACTTTGTACCTCACACTGTGTAGAAGGAAAAATTCTTGTTTTGTCTTGCCAAGTTTTAGAGTCCATACTTTAAAAAGGAGGTTTATAACATAACTGGAGAGAGAAAACACAAAAGCAAATGTAGAACATTTAAGTACAAATCATGAGAAACAAACTATATTTCCCAATAAATTTTAGAGAAGAAATAGTCACAGAGAATAGAAATATCAGTGAAAACTTAAAGAGGATCCATCTGAAACTAAAGAATAGCACATAAGGTAGAAAACTAAAAAAAAAAAAGGGAAGGTGGGAGGGAACATGGGACAATGAGAAAACTACTGTAATCAATGCAAAAAACAAAACAAAACAAAACAAAAAAAACACCCACCAAATTGAACAGGGATAATAGCAAAGAAACCCATATAGAAAAAGTAGTTGTCAAAGTGTGACCCCTGAGCATTCTCCAGATTCTTTCAAAAGAACCACAAGGCCCTACAATTCTCTTCATGAGCTTCAGTCACAACAAACACTGCAACAGAGTGAATGCAGAAGCAAATAAGAGACTCTAAGTATGTTTTATTAAATCAAACACTGAAAGAGATTTGCAAAAGAGCATGAATGCTACTCTTCTCACTAAATTCTTTTGTTGTGTAGTCAATAGTTATTTTTCATTAAAATGTCACTTATGTTAACATACAAGGGGTATATCATTGCTATTTTTAAATTAACCAATAAATATTTTTAAAATATTTCAGTTTTAATTTCTAACATGGTAACTATCAATAGATATAAGCCTCGTAAGCAAATGCTTTGTTAGGATCCTCGGTTTTCAAATATGTTCATATATATCCAAACCATGCCCCTCCCCCTATATAATTTTAAATTATGATTTAGGGTATTTCTTATAAATAAACATATAATTGGATTTTTTATTGAATCATCAATCTCTGCCTTTTAACTGACTTTACTATTTCAATTTGTCCATTGCTTTTTCTGTACTTCTTTTTATCTTATTTTTCAAAAGATTTTATTTACTATTTAGAGAGAGGGGAAGGGAGAGAAACACCAATGTGCAGGAAAGAGATATATTGATGGGTTGCCTCTTGCATGCCCCAAACTGGAGAACCTGGCCTCATATGTAGCATGCATCCTGACTAAGAATCAAACTGGTGACCTTTCGGTTTGCAGGCCGGCACGCTCAGTCCACCAAGCTACGCCCACCAGAGCTATTTTTTTTTTATGATAAATAAATGTGGTATCTCCTTATTGAGATAAGAACTTTGGATTTTATAGAGAGAAATCAAGATGGCAGAGGAGTGAATTAAAGTCACACTGACCTCCTCCCAGGACCAATCTGGAATTACAACGAAATTGTGGAGAAATCACCTAGAAAAAACAACTGAACAATAGTGAGAGAGGGGCCTTATGACCTTGGACAGACAGAAAATTCAGCTTTAGCACAACCTAACTGGTAAGGAGTGCAGTAGAGACTCAAGAAGGCAGGCAGGTCGCCCACGGGTGGCAGCACCAGAAAGATATTGAAAAGGCCAATTGGATCCACCTGGGAAGAGTGGGATCTAAATCATAAGCGGGGATCTCCAGCCTACAGGACCAGATCCCAGAAAGTACACAGATTACAGCCAGCTGCAAAAAGTGGCAGAGTTGCTCCCTGCCAGTCACAGGTGGCTGGAGACTCAAAGAGCTGTTTAAAGAGCCAACGCATACATTTTTAATTTGCAGCCACTTACCCTGGTCTCTGGCAAGGGCAGGGGCAGAGTGGGCAAGAGATGCCTGAGGAGGGACTGGGGAAGGGGTCTTTGGGGAGAGAACTCAGAGACTAGACAGTAGGATGCCGGTGCAGACTCATACCCCATACAGAAGCAGCCATCTTGCTCAGACAGATCACTCTCCTGAGCAGCAGCAGCATGAAAGGACACAGTAGCCCTGCCCTCAGGAAGGGCTCTGCCCATCCTGTGGTGCCTAAGACTGACTGCTGACTGCAGAATGACTAGATTAACAGCTAAAGGAGACAGCGATAGACAGTAGACTCCTGGAAGTCTCAAACAGACTGCCTAAGGTCAGACAGGCTCAATATCTGACATCATCAGAGGCAGACCCAGAAAAAAAAGTCAGTGACCACCTACCATAGAGATTCACAACATAAAGTCAGGAAATCAAGACAGATCAACTTAAAAAGCAGAAACAAAAATCAAGAGTCTCACAAGTAAAGGGAATGAAAAGAAACACCCCCATTCGAAGGGAAAGTAAATGAAACAGAGGCAAGTAAACTATCAGATATTGAGTTCCAAACAACGGTTCTAAGGAAGCTCAATGAGCTCAGTGAGCTCAGAGAGAATTACAAAAGATTACAGGGAAACTATCAGGAACTTACTGCAAACTATATCAGCATGAAAAAGGACATAGGAACTATCAATAAGACACAAGAGGAAATGAAGAATACAATTTCTGAATTGAAGAACACACCTGAAAGAATCAAAAGCAGGCTAGATGAAGCAGAGGATCGAATCAGCAAGCTGGAGGATAAGGTAGAAAACAGCTTCCAGAAAGATCAAGAAAATGAAAAAAGACTCAAAAAGTATGAAGAGGTGTTTAGGGAAATGCAGGACAACCTGAAACGTAATAATATCTGTATAAAAGGGATGCCAGAAGGAGAAGAGGAGGAGGAAGGGATAGAGAACCTGTTTGAAAAAGTAATGATGGCAAAGTTCCCTAGTAAGGAGGGAAAATGTCACACAAGTCCAGGAGGCACAGAGGGTCCCATTCAAGAGGAACTTTCTGAGGCCTACTTCAGGACACATCATCATTAAAATGACAGATATCAAAGAGAGTATTCTAAAGGCAGAAAGGGAGAAACAAGTAGTAACATACAAGGGAGCCCTGGTATGGCTAGCAGCTGAATTCTCAACAGAAACACTCCAAGCCAGAAGGGAATGACAAGGAATATTCCAAGTAATGAAAAGCCTAAAGGTCTGCAACCAAAACTGCTCTACCCAACAAGGCTCTCAATTAAAATGGAAGGTGAAATAAGGAGTTTCCCAGACAAAAGAAGGTTAAAAGAATACACCACTACCAAACCAGCATTGCAACATATGCTAACGGAACTGCTTTAAGAAGATGAAGAAAAAGAGTCTATGAATACCCAGCTCCTTTCACAGTCACCAATACTCGATATTACCAATATTTTTAATACTTACTAATCTGATTGTGACAATGATGTGCTATTTTAATTGTTACTTTATTATTTGTTGAAACTAAACCTGTTTTTGTATATTTCTGGCCTATTTCTATTTTTTTTTTAAAAGGCTTAAATGACTTTTTGGTATTCTTTATCCATTTTTTGAGTAAATGTGTGTAGAATTTTTTCCCTAAAAAAACAACCAAACCTATTAACCCTTTTTTAGATGTGTTGCAAATACTTTCCTGTTTTATACTTGTCCTTTAACTTCTTTTATATGTATATTACTGTAGAGTTCTAAATGTTTAATATAGTCATATTGTCAATATTTTACTTTATAGCTTCTGGGTCTGAATATTTTACTTCAGGGTAAGAAAAATATTATTTTGTATTTTCTCCTAAAACTCCTTAGATTTCACAAATTGATTATTAAGTCACCTGAATATTTTTTGTATAATGTGTGAAACAGCGCTCTTTATTTGTTTTATTTCAAGTAATAGTGGTCCATGTACCTTATTTGTTGAATAAGCCTTATTTTCCCCACTGATTTGAAATATCAATTTAATCATATAATACATTGTTAGATAGATATATCCGTTTTTTTCTAGAATGCTCATTATATTTCATTGATCTACTTGATTATTTCTGTGCTGGTGTCATGCTGTTTTAATTGCTGAGACTTTATCATGGATTTCTGTTTTTTAATATTAAAAAAAAGAGAGAACTCTGCCATGCCCTCATGTCTCTGATCTCCTCTTCACCCAATCCTCATCATGTTTCATGAATATTCTTCCTCTATTTTATATGGTCATGGCTAATTTTTTAAAGACAACAGTCTTTGGTACTTGATCGTTGTTTACATGTCTTACATGTGTACATTACACATCTAGTAACATCTTCTAAATTTGTTTCTCTGTTCCTCTGAGTTTTCCCTCAGCAATGTTGCCCCTGTTGGACTCCATATGGCTGATCTTCAATAGTCTTCCATATTTGAGAATAGGTTAATCATGCCTATTTTATCAAGAGTTGGCTGGATATAAAATTCAAGGCTCAAAGTTATTTTCTTTCAATAACCTCTTCAATACACAAAATATATTATTCTATCATCTTACAGTCTATACTGCTGTTGAAAAGTATGATGTGAATTTGAATCTCGTTCTTTAAAAATATTATTTATTCTCTTGGTTAAGCTTTAGATTTTTCTCTATCTCTGACAGTCTTAAATTTCACTATAATGTGTCCACATGTGGGTTTTTTTCTTAACTCGGATTCTATTGGGTCTTTTTAATCTGAGAACTTTCTTTTTAATTCTGTGAAATCAATCTATTATTTCCTCAAATATTTCTCCTCTATTTTTATCATTTTTAAGTTTCCTTCCTATGTGCTGGTAGTTCAAGTTTATTTTTATTATTTTTTAAAAG